GTAACCTGAACTTATCATACATAATTCATAATATGTTTTATTATTCTGATATGTTCCGATATATTCAGTTTTATTACATTCTTACACTGCACGATCCGGAATTAGCATTTTGTTCAACGTTACAATCATTCCGGAAAGAATTTGTATTACTTTCTTAAGGTATATCCGTTTCGTTTAATGCTCAAATATTCTATATATTATTTCATTTAATTATTAAAAAATTTTTTTATTGGTATGTTTAATTAATAATTTGAAATTGATTATTTTAAAGTCTTACAGGTAATCGCATTCGTAACATAGTGAAATGGACAAATGCTATACTTCGATTTTTTCCTGTTCCTTTTCCGATTCTACATTTAGGTTCCGGTATAATTTGAACATGTTTCAAACCTTCCGACTCATCATGCGGTTTACTTCGTAGTATTCCACCACCATGATACCAAATACGGAAATAATTTTTTTGACGCAGTAATTTACTGCATGCTACCTATGTTGTTAGCAATAAATGCTATAAAATGCTAAGTAATAGAGTAAATTAATTATTCGGAAAAGCATTTTAGACTATTCTAATGCAAATTTGCTAATTTACATTCTGATTTTTGCATCTTTCGAATGTTTAAATATTAGTGAAAAATTAATTTCTAAATGTGAGAGACAAAGAAAACTTAATGATAACAAATTAAAGTGTGTATAACTGACCAAAAGAATAACATTTTGATTAAGATGGTCAGTGGGAAAAATATTGTGAACAGTAAGTTCCTCATTTGAATTTGACATAGCAGCAAGTTGAAAGCTATAAATAATCGTCCATCATATATATTTTTATTATTCACACTGTTAAAAAAAGTTTTTAAAAAAAAAAATCTTAGACGATATTTTATTATATTTTTTACTGATAGCATACAATTCAAATGATAAGTTGAAAATAAAAATATGGAGACATATAATTGTACATCAAATGGCTTTTTTCTTCCTCGATTTTCTGATTGAAAAAAAAAATAATAACTTACTTACAATCCGTATTTACTTTTGCTACCTGTATGACAACAAATTCATTTCGTGCTGCTTTGTTAAATTTTACAGTTTTATAAAAATCTCCTCTTTGAAATGAAGATTTCCGACAGAAATGTCGATACTGAAGTTAAAATTTAATGCTATTAAAAGATTCCTCAATGACGTTAGAATGTTATACAGCAAAATGCTTATATATAAATGTATAGCATAACTAGTGCTTATCCAATCAAGTAATATTAATTAATTAATTTGCCATCAGTTTCAACCATCAGTTTAAAAATTCTGTCAATTTTTTAAATTTAACTTTAATTTAAAGCTATATTATTATAATACTTTTAGTCAAATCATCTAAGAATTCAAACAGTTTAAATAAATATCAAAATTTTTACTCTTTTTGCAAACCTCTTCATCTTGTATTAAATTTAAATCTTCATGTGCCACAAAATGCTCTGTCTTTTGTATCGTACAGCTAATAGCAATAAGAAAGAGAACTGAAAAGTTTTCTTTACGATTTTTGTTTTTGTAAGCAGAAAAAATTTTAAGTTTTGAAACGATAATGAAAATTCATTACAAATCGAATTTAAATTCTGCATTGGTTTTGAAAAAAAAAAAAGAAAGAAACAAGACTGAATTTAAAAAAATCAGTCATTACAAATCGAATTTTGAAAAAAAAAAAAAAACAAGACTGAGACATATTTCAATTATAAATAAAAATTAGAATACTATTAAAACGTTAAGTGTTATATTTGATAATTAAAAATACATCAAACTGTAATAAAACTATTAATGACATTTCATTATAACTATCCGAGTTAAACTACTAACCATACATAGCGTCTGCAAAGACTAAAATGATTGTAAAAACATAAAAATGAAATTTTTAAAAATGAAAAAAAAATTTCTTTTTTAATTCAAAATATATTAAATTATGACAAAGGTTTTTATGATTGAGTAGAATCTAATGTTCATATTTATACTTAAACAATAAGTAAAAATTATATTGCATATTATACAATACAATTTCAAATATTTTGCTTCACATCAATTCATTTCTTTCTTTTCTTGTTAAATTGAACTTTCATTATTGCTATGAAATGAAATTCATATCAATCATTTCAATTATTCATTCTGTTGTTTTTCTTTTTTATAGCAAATAAATAGCCTTTATGATTTCATAGTTTTTTTTTTTAAATCTATTTACTATTTTGGTTAAATTGCAAACAAAATCATACGAATGACAATTTATGATTTAGATATTTTCTTAAATATAACTTAAGTATAACAATTTATAACTTAAATATATAAATATAAATAATTTCATATTTATTTAAATTTTACATAATGCAACATAATTTCACAAATTTTTTGATGTTTGATGATTTATGATGATATTATCATTGTTACGTGATATTTAATTACAAATGATCGAAAGTAATCTGTTATAAGAAGATTTCAATGCTTCACTTTTGATATTATAACATCGATAACAGATTGTAGATGATTGGTCAAATCTACAAATTTGCTTAAAAACAAAAAGAACAAAGCAGATTGATAGGCGCCAGCTTATCTGATTGTCCTTACTAATATCAAATAATTACTGTTGTGTATAAAAAAAAAAGAGAGAGAAAATTTTAATCACTTTGCAATATGTTTTATATATTATGTTAAGAAGAAATAAGAAGCGCATGTGTACTGTAACAAATTTTTGATAAGGAGCGTTAATGGACAGTAAAGAGGGCCACCGACTGTGATAATAAGTGTCGCATGGAGGATGAAATATTTTAGGAAGAAGCAAAAATGGTAACCAAAATATTATTTGTAACGGATGAATAAACAAATTGAAAAATGAAATGATCTTTTCTTTTTTTTACATCAAACTAAATGCACTAATGAAGCGGAATGAAATGATAATATTGTCATTAGTATCGGAAAAGATTAAAAGTTATTTCATTGGAAGAATTTATCGGAAACTGGAAAATAATGAATTCCAAATGGAAATACCATTAGAAAAATATTATTAAATGAAATAAAAGAAGAATTTTTAGGAAATGAATTTCATCTGAAATATTAACGCTTCAAAAGAATTTATTTAAGTTTTTCACTAATGGTTTCGAATAATCTTATGAACATGTATTACTTTAAAAAAGTATTCAGAAGAAATTGATTTTTCCTTTTATTTTCCAGTTTTTTTTTTTAATTCTTGCCAAAAATAATTACTATTCTAATTGTCTCTTTACCTATTAATCTCTCCATATACTTTCATCATATCAAAAGAATTCTACTTCGAGGTGAATTTATAAAACTTTTAACACATTATTTTGTTTTAAACTTCAATCCTCTTTTTTAAAGATTACTATTGGAAGAGAAGAAAAAAATTAACCAATTTAAAAAAAAAAAAGCTAAATAAAAAAGTAAGGTTATAAAGGAAAAAAAAAAGGCAAAAGAGAATATTTGATGAGCAAGCTGAACTTTCTTAATTAATTAATGCCATTTTAATGTAACGGAACATTAATGCTAATTAGCTCAACATCACTTTTTATCACTTAAAATAGTAACGAAAATTGAATGAAAGTTCTGTCGGCGCTAATCTGTCATCGATCATTCACAAACAGTTGCGCACTTTTTTTTTTTTTATTTTTGATAATCTGCTACATTCCTCTTTAAAACCATAGTACCGCTCTTTGATCAACAATAAGCAATCGGAATGGTAGTTCTGTCATAAATTATAAAGAAGAAAATAACATTTATATCTTTAAATGAAGCATTCTGTTATTTGTTACATCATCGTACCATATTCAAAAGTACTATGATAGTTACAAATTTCAATAATCTTTTTTTTCTTCAATTTTTTTAGTTTATAGTTTATAATCATATCTTTGTCTTTTAGTTTTTAAATATTTAAATATCAATAAAACCTAGAAAAGCAGAACTTTTATTTAAATCAAATAATTAAAGATTCTTTTAATTTCTTAATTGTTAAATTTAAAAAAAGAAGAGTGAAATTCATAAGTAAAATTATCAGTACTATCTTTTTTAATGGCTTTCTAAAAAAAAAAAAAAAAGAATCTAATGACAAAATAAAAAGAAATCATGGAAAAGAGAAACGAATTGATATGATTTGATAAAATTATCAAAAATTAGTTCGATGAAAAATTTTTAGCAAATATTATTGTAATCAAAAAAACAAACAAACAAAAAGCAAAAAATTTTAATCTTTTTCATTTCAAATTCTTGTTTACATGCAATTTTGATTAAATTAATTTGTTACATTCTTTTTGCTATTTCATATTTATTTTATTGAAGTGAAAATGATAATTACCGTATGCTATATAAACTTTATCACTTCGTTTGCACCACTCAGATTATCAGGAAGGGGTGGAGTTCTACCATAAAACTGCTAACGTATACAACAGACGACAAAAAATTCTTTTAATAGAAATACAACTCAATCTTTGATTGGTGCTTGTCTTTTTTCTTTCAATCTTATTTAGTCTTTTTTTTTTTTTACTTTACTTTATCTTACTTATACATTTAATAGGTTATTAAATGATAAAAAATTTAACTTCATAAGTCTAAAATTACAAATTTAGGGTATCATTTAGCGAATCATTCACGTACTATTTGCATATAATATTTTTTTCACTTAGTAATAAATAATTTTCTATTTTTTCTTTCAAAAAAGTTTGGAATTTAGAATGAAACATATAGAAATAAAATTTTAGGAGAGGATATCATTATCAAAAGAAATGCTTTATTTCAAGTGGAAAATGTGATCCAAAAGTTTAATTTTCTTTCAAAAAGTTTTCAAAAGTATAACATTTCATATTAAGTATTAGTTATTATTTTATTCTAGCTTATCAATAATTTTAGTAAATGATAGCGATTGTAATATAATTATAAATTTTAATTTTAGGATTAAAAGGAGAAATATTTAAATATGATAAATTATGAATGATATTTTTATACAACAGAGAGAAGATTTGACTATGAGTAATGGAAAAATTCGGATTGCTATATCACATCGAAAATTATGGGAAGAATTTAACCGTAATATAAATGAAATGATTTTGACAAGTAAGGGAAGGTAGTGTAATGTTCGTTTGTTTTTTATGAATAGTCAATTAAAGATATATGAAAATTAATGGAAAAAAAATTGATATATTATTTCATTTTATTTCAGTTTTTTTTTTCTTTCTGGAAAGACTAAATACTTTGAAAATTATTCTCGAAATAAGGTTTAATAATAAATTTCAATATTCATAAAATATTATTCAGGTTTATTTTTTCTCTTTAGATGCATCTATCCTCGAATTGGATATTCTGTAGAAGGTTTAGAACCGAAAACAATGTATCTTATATGTCTTAAAATATGTCGAACTGATCGTGCCAGGTTATTATTTGATAGCTATTGCATAAATAAATTAATATATCTTTAAATCATTAAGAAAAAAAAGCATAAGTCTATTTTCTTCTAAAATATCGAAATTTTTTTTACTGAAATAAAATTTTAAATAAATTTAATTAGTCTATTAATTAAAGATACAAGTATACAGCCGGTGAATGGCATATGATTGCTACGGGAGAACCTGAAAATGAAGCAAAATATATTTATCCAGATAATGGATCAACACAACTTGGACAGTACTGGATGAGTAATGGTATTCGTTTTGGTAAACTTAAAATTACAAACAGTACCAAAGATTGCTCTTCAAATGTTAGTTTAATTTGTTAATAATCAAAATTTCATTTTTTTCACTCATATTTAAAACTTATGATGAGGATATAAAAGTTTAATTATGAAAAAATCCAATATATTTATAAATTATTTCTTAAAATATTTATACTAACAACTTTCTGTTAAGTGATAAATATTTTTTACTGCTATATTTCATGTCATCACTTGTCATTTTGCAAATAAATCCATCAAAATGAGCAATTTGAAGAGATATATGAATGTTGTAAAGTGTTTATTAAATGACATACAATGAATAAGATTTATGTATGTATGTATGTATGTATGTGTGTGTGTGTGTATGTGTGTGTATGTGTATGTGTCATTATGAGCATTAAAGTTACTGATAAAAATCAACAATGGCGCCTTACAGCGATCATAATAAAGCGATAACTAGGTGAGGATGTCCAACTGATAAATATCTTTGCTTTTCACCTTACCTAACTTTTTTTTTATTCTCTCCCTCTCTTTCTTTCCCTTTCTCTCTCTAAATGATTCTTTCGGGAAGAATCATTGAACATTTCACGGTTATATCAAAAACGAATGCTATGATATAGCATTTAACCGACGTAGAAATTATATATTGTTATAAGCTAATGTAAGTTTTTTTTTGTTTAAAAAATTTTGTACCAAAAAGTTATTAACTATTTAATTTAGAAACATACCATTGCTTATATTAATTTATAAATAAAAAGGAATTATAATAATAATAATATTAATAATAATAACAACAATAATAATAATAATAATAATAATAACAATAATAATAATGCAGGGACGAGAGATAGTTTTTACATTTTTTGTGATAGTAATACTACGTGATTAACGTAGTTTATTTTTTCTGTTTAGGTACTTCTCACGTCAATGCATAAATATCGTCCCATTCTTTACATATATAAAGTCTATGCAACACCAGCATTATGTTTCGATGGTTCAACAATATTAACTAATCAATATCAGTTGGTTAAAACTTTTACCGATCAAATTATGGAATTTATAGCTGTTACTGCATATCAGAATCAACGAATTATAGAAATGAAAAAGATACACAATAGTTATGCACGTGGACAACGTGGTGGTACCATTAAGAATAGCAATAATTTTACTACTGGTTAGTTTAACTCTAATTTATTGACAATTTTATAATATTTAACAATAATCTTATTTGATAATTGATCACGACGAAATTAGGAATTACATTTATTAAAAGGATATTTGAAAAAAATAAATAAATAAAAATAAATTTATTTACATTAAGATGAAATAGAATATTAATAAATTAACATTTATTAGTATCATTTCATTATAGAGCTCAATGATGCTAATACTACCATTTCATTGACGAGTGACCATTGTCCATTACGCTTAGCTATCAGTCCGTTGAATAAGTATAAACCATATTGGACGAACAGATCAAATTATTTTACAAAACAGCGAACAATTCCACATTCAATTCATCTTCTATCTTCTAATTGTAATTCATTAACAACAACAACAACAGCAACCTCTCCGATTAGATCATATTCATTAGATGCTACTAACAATTCCAACTGTCCATTATCTAGCTATGCTAATCATCAAAATTCTTTTGCTAATTTCATTTCAAATAATTCTGGAAATATACCTATTTCAAATCACTCAAAATCATCAACAACAATAGAACAACGGAATTTTTTAAATTCATCAGATTTTACAACATTAAATTTACCAAGCATGTGGAATTATAATACTTTATGGCATCATTTTTCACTACCATATCCATCGCTTGTAACAACTCATAATCCTTCTTCTTCCTCTTATATTTAAATAATTTATTGAATTTCTAGTAAAAAAAGATAAATGATATTGAAACTGAATCATTTATTATTATAATAAATTTACGGGCTTATTATTATTCATACTAATTTATGCATTTAATTAATGATTCATGATTAATGTATTTTATTTGTACAATATACTGTAATAAATATACCACTCTGTATTTTGAAATTAAATGATAAAAGGAATGAAAATGATAAGAAAGGTAAAAGGTTTTAACGATTTGTTAAATATTTTTCCCTTCTTTCTTTCTTCCTTTCTCTCTCTCTCTCTCTCTCTCTCTCTCTCTTTCATTCATAGTATCCTAATGATAAGATGCAAAATGTTAAATATCTGAAAGATTGTATTGCATATGTATGAAATGAAAGAGATATTTGATGTAATCAAAATGATGAGATGCAAATGTTTCTGGCAAATGACAAATGTTTCTTTCTTTTCATTTTACAATAATTGATAGTAGTACTGTAATCATAGTAATGTTAAGTAACTGTAAGTTGAGATTTCTTTGATTGCTAGGAATGATTAGCGAATTAGATATTTACAACAACTGAAAGTAAGAGATTAAGTCAGAATGATATAACCTAATAACAGTAACGGTAATATATTTATCGGCATCATCAAAATGATCTTTCATTTGAGAGAGGAAGAGAGAGAGAGAGAAAGAGAAAGAGAGAGAGGGAAAGAGAAACATTGAACCGTAACCTTTCCTTGTTGTAAAATACTGTGTCATAGTATGAATTTCATTATTATTTCAATGAGATTTTAAGAAAATAAATATTTTCGTACTTTAAAAAAAAAAAAAAAACCATTATTGGTAAAATTGACAAAGTATCCATTACTTTTATCTATAAATTTGTTATATCATCAATAAAAGTAATTATTTCTCATTCAAAATCCACTGCAAAAAAACAGTAGAAACTTTAATTTTATTCCAACTTTTATTATAATACTACTTTAATTCATCCATTTCTTTGATTAACTTCTTTACTCTTCAATAGTAATACTAATACTAACATTTTGTAATATTTCATTTTGGCAAGATGAATAATAACAACAAATTACATTTGTACGGCGAATAGTTTCAGAACAACAAAAGAAAGGGAATTACCAAAAAGGGGGGAAAAAAGAAAGATGCTTGGTTATCTGGCGAAGAGCTTAATTATATGATGCTTTAATCAACTACCCGAACTGTTGCTTTTGACCTGATACTACTTTTATCGCACCGCTTCGCGCAACTGCTCCTTCCAATGCTTAAGTTTAAGTTACCCATAATCACAAGCAATATGAAAGTTAAGCTTCATTATGAACAAAAGTGAGACCGATATTCACACCAGATACGAACATCGTTGTGCTTCAAAAAGATATATATTATTTAATCAACCCTCGAACTCTAACTATCGCTCCTTTTTAGTATTTGCTATAAATAAAGGGAATTTATACAAGCTTTGAACTATTCTAATAAATGATAACAATAGCATGGTACCATCAATGCACTCAATTCATCAATGTACTCACTCCGTTCAAGACCTTATGTATTATAAAAGTTTATGTCATATGACATCTTCAATAAAAATTAGATCCTGTTCAGATTAACTAATATCAGATAGTAAATAACCAAATTCTACGGTCAACGATCCAACGGAACTAACTAACGAACATCGCAGAAAATTATAATTTGTCTTTTCTCCAGTGATATTTTTCATATAGTATGGTCTAAAACAAAAAACTTGTCGCTAAACATGTCTTTGATGGTATCCTCATGTTGCTATAAGCATCATTAAAGTTAGAAATTAAAAAGGAAAAAAAGTTATCAAATACAATAGAAAAATAAAATCACATCAACAGTACAATGCTCTAATCTATAAAGAAATCATAGAGAGATCATAAATTCAACAAATAAGCAAAAGAAGAGCACACTAACACGATTGCAAAAAAGTGAGAGTCATAACCTGATAACCACGAATTTTTACGTAATTATACAAATTTTTCAGTGAATACAGTAACTCCAATAATTAGGATGAAGTGGGATCACTCTGTTAAGGACTACCATGGTCTTTTACTTTAATAATTTGAGGATGTTAAATTGCAGATAGTTCTGATTAAGTTGAAAATGTTTTATTTTTCTTAATAAAAAATGCACTAGTAAAGAGTTGATGCAATACTGTCAGATACACTGGTTGAACTACTCGAATGGCTATGTTGTTGTAGAAAAAGGCTTGGAATCCAGTACTGGATAGTGTCTGCTGATTGACTATCAATCCAAGCAATTCCTTCTTTCATTAAATGCTCCAGCACTACATCAGCACGCCGTTCATCCCAGCGCAGACGATCCATAATAAGTTCCTGAAAATAATTGAGTTTCAAACAGTCCAAACCTGAAATCACTAATTTCGAATCAATGTAGTAAAAAATTTAACCTACCGAGTGACCAAAAGCAAATCTTAGACTAAACTTAGAAAACAAACATTTCATTCACAAATAAAAGTAGGTTCAAATTATGAATTTAGCACAAATATTATTAGTGATATGAAAACACAACGAATTTCAAGTCATACAAAATCATTTTCACCAAAATTCACTTTTGTTACATAAGCAGCATCCTCAGCCAACTGTAAAACTCGTGAGTCATCCATGCTAAGTTCACCAGGCACACTTTGCACCAAAAATCGTCCACTTCCTAACGCAATTAATTCAAAACCATTACCAAGTACTTTCAGTTTGTCAACAGCACGTAAAATGTCGTCTCTAAATTGTCACTAAATTAAACTTTAAAAAGAAATTATTTTGTTAGATTTACAAGTCATATATAACTATGTTTTGAGGAAAATTTACTCCATGTACTGAATGAACCCAACAGGTTTCCATCCCAGTACCTTATTTTTTGATTCTCATTCTTCACCACAATTCAAAATATATAGGGAAACCCATACGTAGTGATAGCATCACGTCGTGTTCGTGCTCGTGATCGCAGCAATCGATTTCTCAGTTCCTCTACCGTCATAACGCCACCATTTATGTGACTGGTTGACATACAAACTTCAACAATTTGAACAGCCAATTCATAATAAAAATCACCGACACCAAGTTTCTCAGCCCAAAAACCTTTACTAGCTGAAAAAAAAAAACAATTTTTACTACTTTTCCTAAAGAAAAATAGCCAAAAAATTTAATTCTAGTTTAATGTACTAAACTCTGGCATTCGGACCATACCGTGGGTCGAAAATCATAATTTCCCTTTTCACGTTAATTCTTATGTTTCAGCTTTATTTAAGAAACGTGATCCAAGTTATGAAGATCCCCGTCGAACAGAGACAAAATAATTCTTATTGTCTTGCAAACATATATCACAATTGAACTGTTAAGCAAAGCTTAATAGACCTTAAACATTATCGACTATAATTGAGATTAAAAAAGCAAAATTTTTACAGTAAAATGCAATGAATAAAATTCCAGTGCAAAAAAAAAAGAACGTCTTAGCATTATTTCTCTAATTATTTGTTCTGAATAACAGCTCTGTTAACTTACAAGCAAGTGGATCAACACCAACTGACGCACACATATCCTGAAAGTGTCGACGAAAGTGGGAATTTCGACGAATTTCATCGCGATGTTTGTGGGCAAATTCCTCTAATTTTGTTTGAAAAATTGCAAGTTCCTGCGAAAATTGATTTAATTGTTCACTTGCTAGTTCGGAACCTTTTGCTTGAAATTTTGCCTGAAAATACTGGTGTTTCGTTGGTAGCACAAATACTCAACCAATAAATAAAATTCCATAAATCTAGCAATTTACGCTATAACTTATAATAATCAAATAAACAAGATACAAACCTGAAGATCCTTCTTCTGCTGCACTGCACCTACTCCAACACCGCGTCGACGTGTTGCCATTTATTTTGTGACTAGCTATACGCATGAAATAAATAACCAAATGGTATACAAAAAATGAATAAATAATAACCAAGTGCAACAAATTAATTTGCAAATCAAACAATAAAATATATCGTTTCACGTTAAATATTTATAATTAAAGATATTGAATTAATCAGCATTTCCTAACTAAGTTTCCTAAAACAAAGAGTAGGGATTTGATTAAAAAATTGAAATGTCATACATTTTTTGCTAGTTTCTGTCTAAAAATGAAGGACTGAAGTGATTTAATCATCAGGAACGGAACGTATCACTTAAACAAAAAGGAATAAATAAGTAAAGCCGAAAATCTAATCACATAACTTTGGTATATGAAGCTGCGAAATCATTGTTTTGCTGGTAGTAGCAGCTCAATATTATTTGGCGTTGAA